CCCCCGCCGCTGCTGACTATTCCAGAGACTTTATGAGAGTACAGAAGCTTAGATTAACTTATATACTTGAACCGTTTATAGAGCTTTGGTTTATTCTGCTGGAGCACAAGATCAAAATGTCAAGGTCATGGGTGGCTGATAGATCTTCCACAGACCAACATGACAATAATAAGAGAAGTATCTCACAGATCGCTATTATTCCAACTAAGGGCGAGATCTGTAGTGAATTGCCAGAGTATCTTCCATCACCTCTTCACTTTTCTCAGCATCCACTTCAAGGTATCGAACAAATTTATGACACCCAGTTCCGACTCTATCGGCACGATATATTTGCTGAAGTCAAGCATACTATTAAGGATCTGCTACTAAGATGTTCTACGGGCGATACCAGGGGGAGCGATGATAACAGCCGAACTAATAATTATCAGAGTGCTCGTGCTTGGGTCTATCCCTGTGCTACAGTCACCCAAATACGGTGGACAAAGAGGCGTGGCCTTGAGGCTCAGATCAAATTCCAACCTCCGGCAGTCGCTCAGCGGAAGACTACATCTCAAAGTCGCCGGTGGTGGAATGTCACGAAGCGGCTCGAGGAAGGGGTGCTGCTCTGTTTGATAACATTCCGTGACGGAGAAAGTACGCCCATGTTCTTCACAGTTTCTGAGAAGAACACAGACTTCCAAATCGGTGATAACTTGGTCACTGAAAATGGACTGGTGATATCGGCAAATCCTATTGCAACAACGACAGTCCAAGATTTAATGACTCTCGCAGTTAGCTTTCAGAGGGCAAACGGCTTGCTCGTAGAGTTTCCAGGCATCATCCCGGCGACATTTGTGCCAGTCCTTGAAAACTTGCAAGAATTGCTTGTTAGCCGTCGATCAGCTCTACTGAAGTGGCTCCTCCAACCAGACTTAGGCTCTTCAACCTCTATGCGGCCTCCTGTCTATGCTCGTCTTCCTGGATTCACATTTGACCTATCGCCTGTCATAAGCGATCCCAGTATATCTCTTCGTTTCAAGCCAGGGGCCAACTCTACACATATGGAAGAAACTTTAAACCATTTGACAACACTTGATGAAGGCCAGTGCAAAGCATTACTTTCTAGTCTTAGTCGTGAATTTGCACTCATACAAGGACCGCCAGGGACTGGGAAATCTTACGTCGGTACTCAGCTCGTCCGTGTACTTCTCGCCAATAAAGAAAATGCTGCTCTAGGTCCTATCATTGTAGTCTGCTATACCAACCATGCTCTAGATCAGTTTCTGGAGCATCTGCTCACTGCTGGAGTCGAGAACGTAGTCCGCATTGGGGGCAATGGCACATCCGGGTTGCTTGAATCGAAGAATTTGCGCACCATCTCCAGGCAGAGTTTCAGATCCAGGTCACAGTCACACGCATTGAGCCTCGCCTTCCAGGCAAAAGAGTTTAGCGAACAAAACCTGCTCAACCATCTGAGGAGCGCCTCTCGCATTCAAAATCCTGATTGGGACTCTTTACAAGACCACTTGAATCGAAACTATATTGAGATCTATGATCAATTTTTGCTTCCTATACGAACTAACTCTAAGGCAGGATCGAAAGTGGCACCGTTCGACTTATGGTTAGCAGAATGTGGAAAGGGTTTTGCAGAGCCTAATACGTCATTCACGTCATCCAGGCTCGAAACGGTCTTGTCTTTAGCAAGGGAGAATGTCTACCATCTCGAGCTTGAAGATAGATCCGCGTTAGTAAATCATTGGACGAACGAGATCACGGGTGATATCATGCGTAATATGGCTGATTCGCTTCGTGACATTGAGAATGCACAGACGACTATAAGTCTCATACATGAAGATATCGATCGCCGAATTTTGGGTACTGCCGACGTCATTGGACTTACCACAACTGGCTTGGCCAAGAACGCCTCAGTCTTGCGTAGTGTCAACGCCAGGGTAGTTGTGTGTGAGGAAGCTGCCGAGGTTTTGGAAGCACATATGCTTGGCACGTTTATGGCCAGCTTGCAGCACCTTATCTTGATCGGAGATCACGAGCAATTGAGACCGCAGATCAGGAATTATGACTTGTTCTCTATTGAGAGCAACCGGGGAAAGCGGTATCAGCTCGATCGTAGCCTGTTTGAGCGGTTGGCTGGACAATCGACTGGGGAGAATCAAATTCCCGTCACTCAGCTCAATATTCAACGGCGCATGAGACCCGAGATCTCTAAGCTGATTCGAAATACATTATACCCGCGGCTGGTGGACCATCCGGATACTAAAACCTTACCTAATGTACCAGGTATGAGGAAGAATGTGTTCTGGTACCATCATACGAATCCAGAAGCAAGCTTTCAACACGAAGTCGAAGGAATATCGCACAGCAATGATTTTGAGGTACAAATGACCTCTGCCCTTGTGCGCCACATTGTCCGACAGGGCGTATACAAGAGCAGCGAGATTGTGATCTTGACTCCTTACGCAGGCCAGCTTCGCAAACTTCAACGGACGCTCTCCAGATCCTTTGAAGTCATCCTTGGCCGAATAGACAAGGTCGAGCGTCCGAGCACTTGGCCGGAAGAAGCGGCACCCAATCTTCAAAGCAATCATTCACCGCACCAAAGAGGAGACTCGGAGCAACCAATGCAGAGAAAGTCCAAACAAGTCCTGAGGATCGCCACTGTCGACAACTTCCAGGGCGAGGAAGCGAAAGTCGTCATTATCTCCTTAGTGCGTAGCAACATGATGAAGAGTGTTGGGTTCTTGAAAACGACAAACCGAATTAATGTACTGCTCAGTAGAGCTAAAGACGGCATGTACCTTATTGGCAATGCGGAGACTTATGCTCATATTCCAATGTGGAGCAAAGTCCTCCGTATGCTTGAAGAGGCAAATGCAATCGGACCAGTATTTAGCCTATGTTGCCCTCGGCACCAGGACACTGAGATGTTGGTATCTCAACCAGATGATTTCGAATTCTACAGCCCAGATGGGGGATGCAGAGAAATGTGTGATAGGTAAGCACGAGCATCCTTATAATTCTGCTCTGTATACTTCTCATGGCGCAAATCATTCAAAGGAGGGAATTACTAACCAGCATAGGCCCCTGAACGGGTGTGGACACCGCTGCATAGCTAATTGCCATTCCGAACTATTGCACGCATCTTCTGAGTGTCGTGAGCCGTGCGAGCGAGCTCTTGAGCATTGTGGACACCCATGTCGAAAAACATGCGGCGAGCCCTGTGGGCCCTGCACTGTTACCGTATGTCGAAGAAATGTCACATGATCACCTGCATAAAAGTGTTGCTGTCGCACAGTCGCACTTCGGCGCTAGCGATGCTAGGCAGTGCTGAGGACTGCTGTGCGCGGCGTATCAACGAGCTACAGAAGATGATAGATGGATGGAA